TATATATATATCTTTGTACTAGGCTACATGTCTGCCATGTCTTGCTGGAGTGTGACATGATTTGTTTGTGTACAAACTAAAACACTATCAGAGTTTTTTGTCTTTTTTTAAAAATGTAAGAAGTAAAAAGTAGGCTGAAAATAATTACTCAAGTACAGATACACAAAAATTATTTTAAGCAAAGTAACAAAGTATTTGTACTTTATAGTGTATTGTTTCCTGGTCAGAATATACATATCATACACACACCTACACATTTTTATACACAATCTAATATTTTAGCAACTATCACATCAAAACCTAAAAAAAGAAACATAATCAAACCAAAGCAGGAGCAACACATCTATTAATTTCTGACTTTTTGTGACATCTAAAAGAATTAAAAACATGTTCATCATGGATCAAAGCAACAGATTACCGAGTTTGTTAAGGATCCAGGCAACGGAGGAAGTCCTTTTATTATTTTTATTAAATAAAGTCACATCACAGCCAAATATTATTCAGCATTTTGAACACTAAGTGAAGAAAAGTCGAACTTTTGGTGATTTGTGTTTCCATCACATGTTGTTCTGTCAATAAATCTACCAAAACATTCTTGATTAATCACACTCTTATCCAGAAATAGTCTCAGGATGACCTTTGACCCCTAACGTTTTCAGATTGAAACTGATCAGAAATTAATCGTACTTTGATTGTTTTAGTAAAAACTGTTTTAAAAACAGTGTGAAGTGAAAGGAATGGTACACTAACACCAAACTAACACATTTTATCCCAGTATTTGGAAAAGTGACTGATTTAAAGACATGTTTATTATCTGAAGTAGATTATCTGTTGCTTTGAGATAACTCCTGAGAGTTTCAGTCACATCTATTCAGTGGGTCACAAGATATTTTGCTAACAGACAGATAGACACAGGTGATAATGTTTGTTGGTTCAGTCTGATGATGTAGATCAGAAAAGGTGTTGTATGATTGTACAAGATTTGTTTTACAATTTCTTTATATTAAACCAACTTGAACTGTCTCATTGTTTATTATAATAAAGTTATTAACATGTGTGATAAGATCATGTCTGTTTGTTATCAGGGTAATGTTTGAGGGTGAGGAGGTCAGACTCTTCCTCCTCATCATCACCTGAGATCCTGAACCGAGGCAGCTGACATCCCTTTGTTACACATTTACTCCTCACTGTTCAGGTAACAGAGTCTTTATTAACACAGTCTTTATTAACACAGTCTTTATTAACAGTCTTTATTAACACAGTCTTTATTAACACAGTCTTTATTAACAGTCTTTATTAACACAGTCTTTATTAACAGTCTTTATTAACAGTCTTTATTAACACAGTCTTTATTAACAGTCTTTATTAACACAGTCTTTATTAACACAGTCTTTATTAACAGTCTTTATTAACACAGTCTTTATTAACAGTCTTTATTAACACAGTCTTTATTAACAGAGTCTTTATTAACACAGTCTTTATTAACAGAGTCTTTATTAACAGTCTTTATTAACAGAG